GACATCATTATTTCCTTGATATTTCTTGAAAGTAAAAGAAAAGGAAGTCAATACAGAAGGAGATAGAAAGGATAACTAAATTATTTGCAAAACCAAGAAATCATATTTTTCATATTAAAACAACTATATATAATACATTAAAGTGTATGTGAATACACAAGCACAAACACGGGTATACATGAGCACACACACACATACATACACACACACAAGTTATACACTAAGGCTGATAGTTCTCCCACAAAAATCGTAGACTAACAGAAACCCCAGTACCAAGCACAAGAAACTTTTCTTTCAAATAGTTATTCAGAGTAGTCCATGTGAATCTCTAAACAATATTGACTATTGATATAGTCATTGACTGCCTCTCAGAGGTTGAAGGTAAGCCCTGGTTGCTGAAGACACAGAACATTTACAGTAAAGGACTTAAATGATTAGAGCAACTTGGATCTAATCTGAAAGTGGTCATCCACTAGAAAGGAAATGATTTATGATCTCATCCAAAAACAACTACAACCACAGCGATGAGCAAAGCAGGATATCTCTAGAATTGCAATAAGTGACCCTCACATTTTGGTGGTAACTAACTTCTAATTGCGATTAAAGCTTATGCAATGAGAGGAAAATCATAGCCTTACTAAAATCTTAGCAAAATTCCAGGTGCTAGCAAAGTCATAAACCTTAGAAAAGAATCTGTTAATGCCACTTTTCTACAATATCATGATTCTTTACTACATTCTAAATCTTGTTCCTATACCCATATACAAGTGTAGGTACCACCCCCTGTCAAAGAAGCCTCTCTTAATAGCAAAGGCACCATCAAAGAGAATCACAAGTGGATGTTAAATAGAAATGAAACGATTGTGAGGATCCCAAGACAAGAGGCTATATCTACATCACAGCTCCTAAGGATACTGAAGGGACTATGGAAATATTGTAAGATCTCAAGTACCAAGAAGCCTACTGTAAACATTCTCATCTTAATATAGCTCAATAAAAAGCATTGGAAAAGTGGCAACATCAATAAAAATGGAAAATTTTCACTAAGTCCCACATCTAGACAAAGAGCTATTGGCATCTATTGAATGCTAGAGTAGACAGAATATTCCTCTCCCAAAGATGATTCCCCTTATTAATTATCTAATACACCTTCACCAGCTTTGAAACCATATAAACACAAACAACAAAAATGGACACAGAAGTTTATATACATAAATTTACATATATGCAATACACATAATGTTTTGAATAATATTCATACAAAAGAGGTTAACAATTTCAAATTGGGAACATGGGAAGGATTAGAAGAAAGGTATGTGGTAGGGACAGAAAGAAGAAAGGGAAGGGATAAAGTGTTATAAACTTAATTTTAAAATATATTTTAAAAAGAAGGAATGAAGCTGGGTGATTGTGGTGCACATCTTTAATCCCAGCACTTGGCAGACAAAGACAGGAGGATATCTTTGAGTTCAAGAGCAGTTCGGTCTACAAAGTTAGTGCCAGGACAGCTGGGGCTACACCTAGAAACCCTGACCCCCTGAAAAAAAGAAAAACAAAAAAGTAAGGATCAATGAAGTACTATTGATAAAAAAACATTGATAATCCTGAGTAATGGGATTATAGTTTACAAATAAAGTGCTACCCAAAAGGACTATATAAAAAAGGGTAAATACTCATTGCATTCTTTAAAGACACGTTTTTGAAACATGATTTTACCATGAAAATGTAGACTAATTTTAGGAAAGCACTTTTGCTAAGGAGTAGAAATTTTGAAAATTGAGTATAGTTGGAAGGTTTAGCTTATTTTAAACATGTAAGTGGAAGCTCTCTCTTTTCCTTGGACATTTCCTCTTTCTCTTGCAGCACCTTCTAATTCACTATAAGGTAGATGTCCTCTTTGTCCAGATAATTCTGTCACCATGGTTTTCTACTTCATCTCAATGCTAACATAATAGAAGTAAGAGACCATGGGTTGAAACCTCGAAAACTGTGAGCCATTTTTTTGCTAATTGTTAATCACAATTAGTTTAGGAGTGATACAAGAAAGATTATCACACACAGCTCTTTAAGACCCTGAAAATATGGAAAAATGTATCTTGTATGACCACAACTTCAGTAATCAAGTAGGCACTCAAGTGAGTGCTTATCTTCAAATAATGCAAACATGAAAAATGAGCCTTCAAATTCCTCTCCAGAGAACCACCAGAACATGTTATTGCAGCATGTATAGACTATGGTAATAAATGATTTTCTAATAATACAAAATTATTTATTTACAATGTAAAAAAACCTCCAACCATAAAATCTTCCTAAAAAAAAATCTCAAGACCAGATGGATTCAGCAGAAAATGCTAAGAGACATTCAGAAAACTTATAGGGATACCTCTCAAATTATTCCATAAATTAGAAAAGTCAGGCATTCTCACAAACTGTTTTTGAAGCCAAAACTATCTCAATTTCAAAACCAGGCAAAACACTGTAACAACAAAAAATTACAAACCAATCTCCCCGGTGAAGAAAGAAGCAAAATTCTTAATAAAACAGTTGAAAGCCAAATTTAAGACAATAACATTTACCATAATCAGACAGGCTTCATTATAAACTCTTTGCATAAGTGGTGTCAAGAATAAAAATCACATAATCATCACAAAAATATTTGACATATGCAAACCACTTCATAATAAAACCCTGAAGAGACTAGCAATGGAGGAAATATAGATTAACTTAATAAATCAAGCATGGGATACATGACAACTTATAATGTAGGCCAAAATAATTAAATAAATAACTAAAAAGCAAGAAACAAAACGTGTTCATGTCATGGGTGGTCTATGCTTTCAAAAATATAAACATGTCATTTTCAAAGTGTATTTCTGTATTGTAAGAGTTGATTTCAGTATACAAAATAAGAAAATGAAAGCAAAGTGGTTTGGAGCTTCTAAATCATCACTCTCCCGGAATCCCAGCTGGAAGTAGTAGAATCAAGTATATAAGTAAATGATTCAATAGACTCAATATGTATATGTTTTCAGAGTTAACGTATTGATGAATAAATTAGCAGAGGTATCAGAAAGAGTCTAAAAGAATGTACATAAAACAAAGCCTGGAAGAAGACAAGGGGAGAAAGACAGGAGCTTTTCATCCCTTGACATAATCATCGTGTGAATTTATGGATGTATCTTTGTTAACATTCATGATTTTCTATTCTTCATCCAGACAATCTATTTTGTGTGTGTCAATTACTCAAAATCTTAGGTGAATATTGTTAGTGATTAGCCTTTGCAATTTCCTTTTTGAATTTCAAAAGGACTCTGCAACCCATAATTACTCACCTACATCTGGACGACAAGGCAGGAATTATTGCCTTCACTTAACCAAAGAAAACAGAGGTCAAGCAGTTTCTTGCAGTCCCCAAAGTAAGTAAATGATCGGATGAGTCAATACTTCCTCTTTTCAACTCTATATTTAGACATTGACTTTTGAAAATTTTCCCCTAACACAATGACAGGACTGGTAACTATGCTGAGCTGTATTATTCTACATATCACTTAGAAGAAGATGTTTTTGAAAATTAGAGTTTGAAGAAACACACAGATTTAGGGCAGAGCAATTTTTTTCAGCTAGAGGAATGTGCTGTCATATTCCTTGGAAGAGGGAGAGGCTGCAAGAGAACTTTGTAAAGCAGTGATGCTCAAGGCCAGCACAGGCAAACACAGACCAGAAGGCAAACAATGAGAATGGCATCTGAGAAATGTTTCACACCATAGGTGTGTTGTTCCTGAGCAGCTTGAAGCAAAGGGGGAGGACTATTGTGAACTCTGTGTGTGTGTGTGTGTGTGTGTGTGTGTGTGTGTGTGTGTGTGTATGTGTGTGTGTGTGTGTGTGCATGCGCACATGTGTGCACTTGTTTTTGTGTTAATGAAAAGAATTGTTATTGAAAAGGAAAAATAGATTCTGAAAATCCACTCATTAGGTATGTTCACAATTTGATAAAACTAAATGAGCAAGCATGTAGAAAGTCTCTGGTACTCTTTTTTTCTGAACTTATTTCAGTGTTGTAGCATTTGCTTATGATTTGCTTTGATATCAAACAATTAATTATACTACATCCAGGGACTAACTCATGTCAAATGGCACACAGTAGACAGACACATATTTATTCAGTTTTCTAATATAAGCACTGACATATTTAATAAATTAGTTCTTTTCTGTTATTTCTAGTGAAATATGTCCATATTGTAGCTTTATTACAACACTTCCCACACTAGTTATCTCCTCAATTCAGAGTATGGAATATAGTGTCACTGTTTTACCCACCCAACTTCATGTTCTTTTGTTTTTTAACCCATCAAGTTCTATTGTTTTGTTGTTGTTGTTCAGATTTTCCTGGGGTTGGGTACTTCCCTGGACTGTACCCAGGCTCCCAGTTTTTACACCATTAAATTAACCTGATTATTTCTCTGCCTGGAGCTAAAAACTGCATTTGCTCCTTTTTGAAGGATAGCATTTGATGCACACCTGTCTCCTTCCATATTGGAATTTTTATCCGGCTTGATGTTTATGTCTTGTGCATGTTGTTACACAATGTTGGTCCATATGTGCAACTGCATTACTCTGTCAGACAAACATTGTTTGCTTGTAATCGTCCACTACCTCCAGAAATTACAATCTTACTACCATCTTTTCCACGGTTATCCCTGAGCCCTGGAAGGCAAAAATATGACACACATGTACTAATTAGCATTGAACATTCTGAACATTATTCTCTGCATAATGACTAGATGTGGGTCTCTGTGTTAATCCTGTTCTACATCAAGAAGTGATTTTTCAGATGGGTGTTGAGAAATATAGTAATCTTTGGGTATACAATATGTCACTAGGAGTCATTTTGGTAGTTCATTCGGCAGAATAATAGTAATGAGTTCTTCTGTATGGCCTGTGACCTAGCTATCCAGTTTCTTATCCAAATAATTAGTTTCTTGTCATAAAGTGGGCCTTACATTTAATCAGAAGATTGTTGATTGTTCCAATAACATTCATGCCACTATTGTACCATTGGTTATATCCTTCCAGTCCACTTGTTATTGTACCTCTCACGGTTCACAACTGGATAAACTTTGATGATTACTTCTTAATTTAATCTGTTGTTTCAACATCTGGCAATTCATCTTTTCCTAGATAATGTGAACTTCTGAAAAAAATATGGAATGAAAAATAATATAAAAGACTCAAAATATTTTTTATGAAGAACACAAACAATTCAGGAAGTTTGCAACATCTAAAGTAACAGTACAGAACAAAATGATATTGTCTACAGAAAAGCAGATAGGTAAAATAAACAAATTTGAGTATTCAGCATAAATCCACTGAAATATATTATTGAATTTTCTATAAAGATTCAAAGGACATTTAAAAGAAATAGAATTTTTTCAATAAATTGTATTGAAAGAGTTGAATATTAATATAAAGAATTAACCCCAAAGTTTATGCAATGTTAATTGATAAATATAAATAGAAAATGTGAAACCACATTATCTTTATGAAAAAGAGAAAGTATATTCTATGTCTAGATAGGCAAATATTTCTTCATATGAGACCATAAGTATAACCTGTGAACCTAATTCTAAACCGAAGTATATCATAATATCAAAGATTTGCTCTGATATGCTATAAAGATAAGGAAAAGCAAGCTACAGAAAATATGTCAAATATTGTACAAAAGACTTCCTTCCAGAATTTATGAGGAAGTCAATCAACTAAATATCAGAAACAGCAAATGAGAAAAATGTTTAAAAGGACAATAATCCAAAGATGAAATACAGGTATCATATAAGTGCACAGAAATATGTGTAACATCAGTAGTTATTAGGGATTTGCAAAACATTTCTGTAAACATAGTTGTGTATACGTATAGGAATGTTCTGCTAAATGGGCATGATTTTAATCTGACTCCTAATGACTTATCACTGTTCCCATAGATTAGTTCATCTTTCAACACTCATCCAATCTTTCTACAGTAGATGGAAATTATTAATAGAGACTCATAACTGCTCAAGGTGCAGAGACTGAGAGACTGGAATACTCAGTTCTAAATGAGATATTACACCTCCATCTAAATACTCAGGGATCATTGTCGATGAGGTGGCACAAGGATTGTAAGAACTGGACAAAGCGGATAACTTCCAGAGATCAGTGGTTTCTGATCACAGCAGGACGTTTGGAACCAGGAACTCACAAAAGTTGTGACAATATGCACAAGACCTGTGCAAGGTCAAACCAGAAAAAATTCCAATATGTGGCAGGTGGTCATAAATAAGGATACGAACAGCTGCAAGGGGAAGGACAGGCAATTTTCTTTAATGGTGTGGCCTCTGGTAGATTTACCAAAATTCAGTGAAAGGCTACATAATCAATTGTAGATAGACAGCACAAACTGTACTTAGTGTGTATAAACAAATGAAAATGTGGACACAAAGTTGGGTGTGGATGGAATGGGCTGGAACTGTGAGAAGTTGCGGAAGGGTCATGAATATGACACAAGATCAAAGTGAATTGTGCGATGTTCTTGGAGAACTAACAAAAATTTAATAATTTTACGTTCATATAATTTATATCAAATACATTTTTATAATATGTTCTGCAAAATTTTCAGTGGGTAAAAGTTCATGCTACAAAGCCTGATAAATTGAGCTTGATCATTGGGATCCATATAATAGAAGGAAAGAATTGAATTCCAAGGGTTGTTTTCTAATCCTCGCATTCTGCAATATGCATATTCCCAGACACATACACATACACAATACAATATAATTGAAAGAAAATATATATTCCTGTATATATTAAAGTTAAAATATTAAGTAAGTGATTTATTGATTTTCCTTGTTCAACTACTGTCCTTTAGACATAACACAAATTGCTATGAAGTGTCATTTTTCGCATTTCAGTTAAAATTGGTCAAATCATCTAGATTCATTCACATAATTATTACTTATAGTTTGTCTAATGGATTTTAAAAATGTAAGTCAACCCAACATTGTTTTGAAACCCTATAAGGCATTTCACACATCCCACTCCTCTATTGTGCTAATCAAGCTATACTCATAGGTCACTGAGTATTAGTTATGATACGTTCATGATACATTCCTAAACTCTTGCATATTTAACCAACTGTTTCTGAAATACATTTTCAGCAATATTTCTTCTGTTTCCTATATCTTTTAATGGGCACACACAGACTTGTATTATAATGTCTTTTATTCATAAAGTAAAAGTGAAAAATATCATGCCTTTTTTTTTCTTTCCTTGAGTACTGATGACAGATTAATACAAACTAAGATTGGCATTATGTAATTACTCTATGTCTTACCATTGCATTGAATCCACATTCATAATAAATGTGTTAAAGTGAATAATCAAGTGAACATTTACCAAGAATCTACCGCCTGTCAATTACTGTGTTTAGTGAAGAGAGTATGAAGATGAATAAGCCATGAGTTCTGGTCACACAGGAACATCATAGTCTAATTAATACACAAAAATTGGTGTTAGAAACAGAAACCAGAAGAGAGCAGGTTATTCTTGGAGAATAATTTTGTCATAAAGGGAAGGAATATTGTTTACATTAAGACTGAAAATTCATTGAGGAATATATCTATTATGTGCTTCTTGATAGAATATTTGTCAAGTTCAAATAAACTATTCAAATGCTAGATCTTAACAGGTGCTAGTATTGTAAATAGAATACTCTGGAAGCTTATTAAAACTGGAAAATATTTTTTTCCCAAAGCCCCATGGACGGAGAAAGTGAAAAGAAAAGGTTAGTGTAGTACATGTCTCATGTCCATTCAATTTCAAACCATAAACTAATCAGTTTTGTGTGAGTAACCACATGCATGTATAACAACATTGTCAGTTATTATTAAATTCAAAAATTCATTTTCTTGAGACAACTTAGTCTACTGATATCTAGTAGACATAGTTGACTATAAGATGCACCTAGATATGTTCTATTTTATTTTAAAAATATGTTTGATACTAGGCACATTATGAAACATATGAGCAGCATATCAGATAAAGGAACAAACCCAAATAGTAGATTCAAATATTGCAATTTAAATTAGACACACAAGGCAGTTCATAAAGAAAAAGAAGCCATGTGAATAAAGTAGAGAGGAATGTGCGGCAAAAGCTTCTAGGAGCTGGGAAGAGACATTATATGTTTTGAATGCTTATAGTGAAACTTACTGGAAATTTTGTGTGCTCAGTATTATTGAAGGATGTACTTACTTTATGAGTACAATAATAGATCATTACTATTTTAGAAACTCCTTTATCATATAGATGCCATATTTTCTTCCTTCTCTTCTGATTTCCATTGTAGTTTTCACTTTTCTCCTCAACTTTGAAATGCTACTGTTTCATAGGGCACAATCTTCTATTTTGTTTGCTTTTTACCTACAATGTCTCAGGAAATCTCGTACAATGTACTATGTGACTGACAAATTTTCCTATGCCTAGATTTTCCTATTGGTTACAAATGGATATCTAACTGTTATTCATACTTCTTGAGAAGTCCCAGCCATCTTTTATAGGCCTTCTATGAAGTCAGACCTTCATAGAAGGCGTAAGTATATGCAGAAGAAAACAAAGATTGATAGGGCCATTGTTACATTAACAGTCTCTGCAAACCTTAATCACAGACTATACAAACTCAAAAAGTGTATTTTCTAAACTAAAAAAAAAGTGACAGTTTACACTTACAAATGGGCTTTTGCTGTTTGGTAATCATTGTTCTGAGAGCTTTCTGTCCATTAACCTAGTTATTTCATCTTCCTTTTACAGCTGAGTATACCTGAGTACATAGAGAAAACAGTTGGCACAGCTGGGCAGTAAATCAAAATGATCCTTGACTCTTGCCCTCTGCATTTCCTTCTGTTTTCCTCAACTCACATTTTTCTTCCTCCATCTTACTACTTCATCTGCTTCCTCCTTTTGTGTCTTTCTTCCTTTGTTCCCTTTCTCCTCTAACTACAATATTAAGTAAGGGCATCTATTTTCGGAAATAAAAAAAAAAACTATGTATGCTCTTCTTCATATTGGGATTCCATCTTATAATGTACATATGTATATATTTACAAAGATGCAAATGTGAGTATAGCATAGAATTTAGAAAGGAGACTAAAAGAAATAATATTAGGGGATGAAGGACAGAATGTAGATGAAGAAAAATGAAATGTGAAAGAAGTTATAAATCTAATAATTTTCTAGATTTAATTCTGTCATTTATTTATATGTTAGTCAGTGTTCTGCTGCCATGAACAACTCTTTCAAAGGAAATCATTCAACTGAGAGTGGTTAACACTTCAGAGGTTAGTCCATTATCATCATGGCATGAAGCATCGCAGCACACAGGCAGACATGGTGTTGGAGAAGTAGATGAGAGTTTCAAAATTGTATCCTCTGGGAACAGGATGGCATATACACTGGGCCTGGCTTGGGCGTTTTGAAACATGAACACCTTCCCTAATGACACGCTGCCTCCAACAACTCTACATCTTTCAATCCTTTCAAATAGTGCCACTCCATGGTGACCAAGTATTCAAATCCATCAATCTGTGGGTACCATTCTAATTCATACCAGTACGTTTTTTATGGTGGTGGATGAGTGTATAAAAATGTGATGGATAGTGAAAATATAAAATCCAACAAATCAATTACTGATCTTACAATTGTTATTTTTCTCAATATTTTGTATTAATATTTCTTTTTATTTCAAATTTATTTTTTAATTCTTTAATTACTACTCATATTTACAAATCCACGCCTCATTTCCTCACCCTCCCATCCTCCCATGTTCCCCACCAACCTCCCCAACCCATCCTCCAACTCCTCCCCAGATATAGTGAGAACAGCAGCAGGAGACCTTCAAAGTCCTTCATATCATTCAGGGGAGGGCCTAAATCCTCCTTGCTGTATCTGGGCTGCAATAGTATCCCTCCAAAGGGAATGGGCTCCCAAAGTCCATTTGTGCTCTACGGATAAACACTGACTCCACTCTTAGAGGTCCCATAGACTGCCTTGGCCGCCTAGCTGGCACCCACATTCAGAGGGCTTGGTTCAGTCCAATGCTGTTTCCCCAGCTTTATGACTAGGATCTCAATGCTCTTAGTAGGTCAGGTCAAGTGTTTCTGTGGGTTTCTCTAGCACCATCTTGGCTCCTTTGCTCATCACTCCTCCCTCTCCACAACTGGATTCCAGGAGTATGGTTCAGCCCTTAGCTGTGGGTTCCTGTCTCTGCTTTGAACAACAACTGGATGAAGGCTCTAGGAATGGTAACCAAGGTAGATATCAATCACATTACAGGGAAAGGGCATCAATGTCATGCTCTCCACCAGTGCCTGGATTCTTAGTTGAGGTCATCTGTTACGATAAATCTTTCTTCCAAAAGCTGCCCGAGCCCCATCGCCACATGGGCGGTCTCTGCCAGGTGCCCAATTTCTGCCCGCCGCGTGGATAGACAAAATAATACAGAGACATATTAGGTACAAAGCTGCTTGGCCAATGACTAGGATTCTCATCTGTTAGCTCAGTCTTAACTATCATAAACCTATATATTTTATAAGACTTATCTTATCGGATGCCTTATCAGCGTCCTTCCTTGCCACTGGATCACATTGTGCTTCTGGAGCAGGACCAGAAGGGAAAAGAGTGAACACTTCCTGTTTCCTTCTTAAATATGAGTCTCCTTGCCATGTCACTTCCTGCCTGGATCACCACTTCTCTACTACATTTCCCAGAATCCTCTTTGACTCCTAGTCCCTTCTAACCTGCTGTCTCATTGGCCAAACAGTATTTTATTTAACAATAAGATAAACATACACAGAAGTACTTCCCCCATCAGTCATCCCTGTGGATCCCCTAGCATTTACCCTGTGCTAGACCTCTCTCCAAGCCTGTACTTTCTCCCTCTATCAAGGCATCTCCTTTCTTGCCCTCCTGTATTCCTCCCCACCCTGTGTCTGGCCACACTTCACCCTTGACCCCCATGCTCTCTGCCCTCTGCCTGCCACCTGAGGTGTTTATATATTCCTTATCAACCACATTTCTACTTCATCAGTCACAAGCAGTCCTCATCATCTTTTCTATGGGGCACATTCAACTCAACTTCTCAACTTTTATAAAACTGCCATGAACAATAATTTGAAAGTTCAAGGCTCTGCTATTCTTTAATAATTAAATATGTTCTTTGGCATTTTCATACATGTGTATGGTACATTATGATTACTCTCAATCTCATCCTTGTATTTTCACCTCACCCCTGTCAAATAGCCCTCACCCCTAGAAATCCCTTTCTCCCATTTACATTTTTTTTTGTTTTATTGATGACATACTGAGTTTAACTTGAGCCATCTATGTAATCATGGGTTTGGAGGTAAGTGGCTACATAACTAAAGACAATAATGTTCTCTCCTTGACTCTATTAATAGAAAATGACTCAGCAGTGATATGTAAGAATCCCTTGAGCCCTTCCTCCATCTATGCCTGACTGTTGATTTGCTGAACTCCTTTTTATAGACATTTGTTGTAAGCATCTCTAGCTGCTAAAATTTCCTGATTTCAATGGCCACATATCCAGAAGAAATCATTTTACAGCTAATTCAATTTCTTAAATATTGTGAATATTCATCCCCAATATTCCTGCTTCATAATAGTCTTCAGATTATAATTTTAAAGACATTTGTGTGTCAGTACATCTTATAAATCACTACTGATGGCTAACTATTCTCTCAAGAGTAAATTACAGTGCTGGTGAGATGGCTCAGTAGTTACAAATACTTGTTGCTTAACATGTTGCTTTTTGTGAAGGACCAGGGCTCATATTATATCACCCACTTGATGACTCTCAACATTCTGTAGTTCGAGTACCAACAGATTCCGCAAATGCTTAATTTGAATAATTCATGTTTGTAGTCGTGTATACACATAAAATTACAAAGAAAATTTCATTTTTTTCTCTAAGCACTTCAAACATATTTCTGTGGAATATGTGACTCTAGAGAGACCCTTCAGGAACAATACCTCATGAAAGATTAAGTTTATGTCCCTGGGTCACAAAGGTATTGAGTAGCACAGTTGCGATTCAAAGGGCATGAGAATTAGAGATAATACATTGAAAATTCCTGGCACACAGTAGGCCCTGGGTACATGCTAGCTATTACACTAATTAATCCTCACTGCATATATAAAGCTGAACAATGCAACCCTTTCAGGTTTCCTTCTGTGCTTTGAAATGTGATTTTTTTTTTCAAAAACAGCAGAGGGAATTATAAGGATCATGGTTTATCTCTCTAAATAGTTTCTATTATAAAGGATGAGCCCTCCATGTGTTGGAACTCTTCCACTAAATTTTAATAGAATACATTTGCCATGACATAATGAGCTTCTGCATAATTTTTACTTTTCTTTATGATTTAATTAGCCTTGGTCTTTTTCTTTTCTTTGTTTTGACTGGTGCCCTCTCAATCTCTACAGCATTTTATTATGAACATTTGGTAACAAACACTATGTGTTCATAATAGTGATACTTTTTGACCCATAATATTAGAGCTTGTTTTCTTTTCTTTGAGAATTATAAATGATAATAAAAGTTTTAAGCACTGGGATTTGAGTGTTTAAATTCTGTACTTAAGAATGAGATTTATGCAGAATTTCCAAAAAGGTTTTCTCCTATTTATGATACTTAACCCAAATAATAATTTTTGAATGATGATTGTTTTCATTATAGAAATACTGCTCTTAAATCTAGAAATTCTGAATTTGAAAGTATTTCCTTGTTACATTTTAGAACAGCACTTAACATACAAAGGCCCATGGTCCATATCCCATCTGTCATCTCTTTTGGTAAATATTATTTTAAGGAATGATATCCATATTTATTATTCTCAGTGACTTTTGTCTTATATCGACAGTGTTCATAGCTGTGAGACAAATATGTTTACACACAAAGTCAAGCATATTTACTATCTGAACTTTATGTAGTTTGGTATTGCTGCATTGACCAATGATCATGTCACTCCATAGAAAGTAGCTGTTAATGAAATGGGAAGAATAAGATATTTTCTAGCAATATCTCTGAGTCATATCTTTGCTACTTCAACCAGCTACAGCCTAGAAAAAGTATACACTCTATTTTGGCAATCTTTGAAACTCTGCTTATAAGAAATTTTACTTTCAAAATTACCCCACATTTTTCTGGAGAGTTTTGCTGCTTTGACATACATACATTATACCATACTTACAAAATTATAAGGTTTTTCTTAAAAGGAACAAAGGTTTCTTAACCCATTACAGAAACCTGGACTTCGCTATACTTTTCTCTTTAAACTGGTTCTATTTTACTTTGAAATGTTGTACATATTTTAACAAAAAGACTCAGCAAGCAGTTTGCAGATGAATTTAATGAGCCCATATGGGAACATTTCAAACTTGGATTGTCTGTGATAAATAAAGCCCAATACTGATTTTGCAATGAATTCTAATATTTCCTGTTAAATCAGAAGACTTCTGGGAAAGCTTAAATGATGACTGCAGAATGGTTGTTTTAATAGAAGTTAAAGGTTATAGGCATCCTGACATGCCATATCTGTAATCAACCTTCATTTTCTTAGGTTCATATTTCCTATTAACTCAGATGCTATCTCCTGCTTCTAGCCTTGGAATGTAATTTCTTCATGTAAAATAAATCAATGTATAATACATTATAATTGGGATAGTCATGGAATTTAAGATTTCTCAGTTTTTCTTACTGTGGGTATATAATTCACAATACTGCTGCATATGCATACTCAAAAGTACTTTAATTTTTGTAAAATAATAAATATCATTTGCTAGGGAAAATACAAATTAAGAAAAATGAAGGTACACTAAAACACTTAAAAATTATAATAAGTTATAGAAAAGAATATCCGAGATTTGATGAAAGCAAACTCACACATTGCTTATAGGATTTAAAAGGAAATTATATACCATCCTAGAGCCTTCATCCAGCAGCTTATGGAAGTAGAAGCAGATACCCACAGCTAAAAACTGAACTGAACTGGAATCCAGTTGCAGAGACGGAGGAGTGATGAGCAAAGTAGTCAAGACCATGGTGGTGAAACCCACAGAAAGAGCTGACCTGAAAAAGGGGGAGCTCTTGGCCCCCAGACTGATCACTTGGAAACCAGCATAGAACTGACCCAGACTCCATAAATGTGGGTGACAGTGAGCAGGCCTTGGAAATCTATGGGGCCTCCTGTAGTAGATTAGTACTTATCCCTATCATAGGAATGGACTTTGAAATCCCATTTCACATAGAGGGATATTCCCTTAGCCTAGACACAAGGGGGTAGGCCTAGGCCATATCCCAAAGGATATAACAGACTCTGAAGACCCCTCCCATGGAAGGCCTCACTCTCCCTGGGGAGCAGAAATAGTATTGGATAGGTAGGGTGTTAGTGGGGGCCAGGGGAGGAGGGGAGGGAGCGGGAAAGGGGATTGACATGTAAATCAATTTGTTTCTAATTTAAATTTTAAAAAAATTAATAAGATTTACATGGTTACAAATTAGAAAGATATTTTGATATATAACAAGAAGGAAAGAAATATAACATTTGACTCTATAATTTCCCTTATAGCCACATGCTATAAGCATGCACAAGTAACAAGTATATGAATAGTTAAGTTCCTTATCAAAGGCAAACAATACAAATTTCAGCTAAATCATGATGTTGTGTATTAGTCTTCTAAAAATTTATTTCATCTCT